CACGCCCCGCAGGTGCGTGAGGAGGAGTTCCGCGGGTTTCAAGTTTGCGCCGCTGGTTAGTGTGCCCGGTCTGGCGTGGGCCATCCCCTCCTCTGTGCCCTCCTCCGTCAGTCGGTCGTCGGTCGTCGGTCAACTGCTGGGGGGGACGCCGAACGGGTGTACTAATAGTGCGATTTTAGGAAGCCCCCCCTGCAGCCTGGGAGACGCCCAGTGGGGGACGTTCCTCGGCGCACGGGGGGCATTCTAGAACCTGAGCGGGGGTGTCGTCACTCGTTCGTCTACTATCGGTTACCTGAGAACGACAGCGGGGGACAAAGGTGGAATGGGCCCCCGGGGCCCCTTCGGCGAGAGTCCGACCCGTCGTTGCGAGGTTACGGTCCTGGGCATGAGGAGGTGTTCCCTGCAGAGGGGTCTCTTGTCCGTCAGGGGGGCACCTAGGGGTCTCCGAGGCGAGGCGGAACAATTCGGGCGCCCCCGGGCAGCCGCTGTCGAGGCGCACTGCAGTCTGAGTACAGTCGGGGCGTTGACCTAAGGAACCCTAAATGAGGAACGAGGCCCCTTTTGCTCCACAAGTTAAACTTCGTTTTCCCATAGGAAAACCTGAGGCAAGCTGTGAAACACTTCAGGAACACGGAGCCTCTCCCCAACGAAAAGGGTTCCTTCTTCGGCGACCCGACTGTAGGATCGTCCTGGGACGGGATGCCCATGCGAGAACTCGTGGCCAGGGGGCCGTTGGCGATCTCCGTCGCCGACCTCTTGCATTTCTCCTCTCCTCCGTCGGGGGGGCGACTCAGGGACGCCGTGGCTGGGTCGGACGGGCCAGGCTCAGGAGGGAACAAAAACACACAGACACGATCAATCGTCGATTCCCCAGAAAAGATGGGAAACGATGGGAAGTGGGAGGAAGACAACAGCCCAGAACATATGAGAAAACATGGGGAATCCTTTGATTGGTGTGTATTTGTTTGTGTCCCAGGGCCCCTTCACAGGCGCCCCAGGACAGCTCTCGCCGAGGCGCGTTGCTGCGTAGAGAGGACCCTCCTGGGAAGACGTGTCTGCACCAGCCCCTCTGGCAGGGCAACCGGTAATTAGCGATTCCCGTCGCCGATGTCTTCTGCTTGCCCTCGGCGCCACTGGGCGTCGGCGGCTCGAGTCCAGCAGGGTCCCAGAGGAGGAGGGAGGAGGAGGAGGAGGAGGAGGAGGAGGAGGTGGAGGAGGAGGAGGAGGAGGAGGAGCAGAATGCGGTACTTCTGACTGCAAACAGGCCTGCAGCCTGTAGGCAAACTGCCGCGCGGTTCCCGGGCGAGCAGTGCATGCTGCATGCATAGAGATACAGAGTAGCAGAAATCGAAGCTGGAAACCTCTCGGGCGCTAGGCTAAAAACAAGTCCAAGCCGCAATCCGCGGCGACCGCCGCACCTCGCAGACCTCGTGTGAACGACCGAGAGCCCTGGCGCATGCCCGAAAGCATCGTATGCCCGTCGTCGCCGATGAACGGAAGGACGACAATCCGCAACTCGTAAGACTCAACCGAGAGCGGCGAGGGCACCGCACGCTTATCCGCGAACCTCGGAGTCCATCCTCGAACAGCAGCTCGGAACATCGTCAACGCCACGCTGGAAACAAAGACTGCTCAAATTCAAGGGTACCGACTTCACAATGGACAGCAACGTGGAGTACTCCACGCCTAGGCTGGCAACGACCGACAGCAGGACAGAAAGGATGGTCCAGCAGGGTCCCAGAAGTCGGTACTTGTAGATGCAATCTGGCCCGCAGCCAGAAGGCAAACTCCTGTGAGCACCCGCCAGAGTGACCACCCACAGGGGGATCATGCACCACGCGATTCCCGGGTGGGCAGTAGGTTGCATAATGATACATGACTGCTCTCTCTCTCTCTCACACAAACCGCAGGCCAAAGCGGCACACGGCAATCCACATAATCCAGCAGCGACGCTACCAGCAGCTCACACCTATGGCGAACCTCGTGAGAACGACCTGGAGCCCTGGCGCATGCCCGTAGGCATCGTATGCCCGTCGACGCCGATGAACACGGTAAGGTCGACAATCCGCACTTTGTAAGACTCAGCCGAGAGCGGCAAAGACACCGCACGTTTATTCACAAATATAAACAACCATGACGCAACGTCTGAATCAGAAAATGGATCGTGTAGAAGGCGAGGCGGTCCTAATCAAAGTGAGCCGGCTTCACTGCGAACGAGAACGCGGAGAACAAGCGACACGGGCACCGCGAAGACAACGCCGAACACAGGCGGTGAAAACGATTGCCTGCCGACGTAGCCAGGCGTCAGGCGTCGGCGCACTGCCGACCGAGCCAAAGTATAGCCAGATACTTGTCAGCATAGGATTGATGTCGCTCGGACGTGTGCATTTTTTCTCGGCGGGGATTATTAAGGAGCATCGTGGATCATCCTGCGAAAAAAAAACCACGCAATAAACCGAAACAAACACAGGAAATGGACGTCCGAACGATGGCCAGTAGGGGCTGCACTCATAGCCATCCAGTATCAATGTGCCCAAGAATACAGCAACGACTAGCATGTACAGCATCAGACATTACGGCCAGCAATGACAGCGAGGGCAGAGTACACAGCGACGCCATGCAGCTGGGGGCACTCCAAGGAGACATCCAATAGATGGCTGAGCATCGCAGAGCAAAAATGCAATAACCAAGCATCATGAGCCATGCAGACGCATTGTAATATCCAACCACTATGGAAGAAATGCGCTGACTCACAAAGTTAGATGAGTTCGTCTGCCCCACAAGCGTGCAATCGTAGAACATGTCGTCGTTAGATCTTGCGCCCATCAGGGCAATCTGGGCCATACGACTGGATGGCTCCCGCGGCACTGTCTCGCCTCCCCAGCCGCCTTCACCCCCAGCATGCCTCGGGGCGGCTGGATCACCAGCGCCGGGGAGCCAAAAGCCCGCGGGGTCCTGTCGGGGGGGCGTGCTGTGGGAGTCTCGGGGGACAGCCTCCTCTGCAGATGTCCATGGGATCTCGCGGGACTTCTCAGGCTTTGGGCCTGGGACCTAGGTAGATCTTCGAAGGCCTCATGCCCTGGCCCAGTAGAGAACATATCAAGGCGGCGGCGCTTCGCCTGTTCCTCGGGCCCCAGGACCCGGGCGGAACGACGCGGCCCGAGAAGGGCCGCAGAAATCGGGGGCCCCCGAACGGGGTGGTGACCACACCGTGCGGTGCGTCGGTGGGGATTCTGGGTCACCGCACGATTTTGGGACTCGGGTCGTTCTCCGAGGATGTCTCGACCTGGCGCCGTCGCCGCACACGCCGCCGCGGCGTCGTAACTGCCTCGGCTTTGTCGTCGTCGCCGCTGGCGTCGTGGCCGCCGTCGTCACGGCCCGGCGCCGTCGTCCAGCTGAACAATAACATTAAGCAACCTTCCCCATCCCCCCAGAGTTCAGAGTTGGGACGGTTACGAACTACCGCTCGGACACTCAAACTCGGAAGGTCCGAAACCAGTATTGCATTCGGGGGGAGGGGTGGAGGAGTTCAAACCATCATATGCCACGCGTGTTTGTTGATTCATTGTTTCCGACACCTGTGCCGCTCCATCCCTTCCTCTCTCGCCTTCTCTCGCGGGCCGCCAACTGGGCGCGCTCCGCAGGCTGTGGGGAGCAGGCTGCGACCAGACGGCGACGATGGCGACGGCGGCGACAACTCCGAGGCGGGGATTTGTGGTCGGGAGCTTTTGGATAGCGTGTCGCGCCGCTGGTTCTGGCCCACCAGGCTTTGGTGAGACACGCTGTCCACTTCCTGATCCCCAGGCGTCCATGTGCCGAGCGCTTCCCGACCTCCCGACCCGCGGAGCGGAGCGACACACTGTCCGCTCGCAGGGCATAGCGCGGCGCCAGGGCCGCCGTGGCGACACGCTAAGCAACAGTTCCTGACCGCATCCACGCCCACCGCCCGGAGGGTCGGCCTTCCAGGAGCTCGGCAGGCGGCGGATAAGGATACGTTCGGGCCCTTGGGGTCCAAGTATATCCACATCCACCGCCCCGCCCGAGGAGGAGGAGGAGGAGGAGGAGGAGGAGGAGGAGGAGGATAGGAGGAGGAGGAGGAGGAGGAGGGGGCGGAGGAGGGAGTAGGAGGAGGAGATGAGAGGAGGAGGAGGAGGAGGAGAGGAGGAGGAGGAGGAGGAGGAGGGAGGATTGGGAGGATTGATTGGGAGGAGTTGGGAGGATTGGGAGGATTGGAGGGAGGAGGAGGAGGAGGAGGAGGAGGAGGAGGAGGAGGAGGAGGATTGGGAGGATTGGGAGGAGGAGGAGGAGGAGGAGGAGGAGGAGGAGGAGCCCCAGGCGGTGGATATGAACATTCCTTGCCTCGCATCGACGGCTCTCCTGCTGCAACTTCCTCTGCTCACTGCCCCCCTCCCGGCTCGCACACGGCTGGCTCGCGTCGTGCCGACGCGGCGGCGAATCCGCCGCGGACATTGAAGGTTGAACGCCACCGGTGGCCCAGAACCGGCCAGTATGGAACGATTTGGCGATCGAAATGCCGCTGATCGTTGAGGTTGAACGATCCGCGCGGTGTCAGAAAACAGCGCTGGGGTCGTCACGGCACGAGCTTGCGGCAGGTCACCCGCAGAGGCACGAAGACAGTTGCGCGCGTCGCTGCCCGGGCCAGGTGGGCGTTCTTCTCCAGTGGGGCGGCGGTGAGGGCGCGAAGGCATGAGCGCAGCTCTTGCCCTGCGCAGTCCAGAGCGTTGTGGAGGACGATCAACGGAGAGGAAGCGCGCTGCCAAACAATTTCCGGATATCTAAAATATGCTTCAAACATGTCTTGAACATGTAAAAACATGTTTGAGGCATGCTTAGAACATGTTTTACACATTATAAACACCTGCTTTTTTCAACGATCGGATTGTTGGAGCGTCCATGGTCATGGCATCCGCAACCAGAGCGCCGAGTTTGTCGGCCCGCCCGACGCCTCCCCGCCCTGGAGAGAGCACCCTGGAGAGAAGGCGACCGCTCCCCTGAGCAACTCCACGCGGCGGCGCAAGCAGCGCCAGCTCGCGGACAAGCGGGCAGCGTTCCGGGAGCTGAACCAGGAGTGCGGGGGCGGCCAATATTCAGGAGGGAACGAACACACAGACACAATTATTCGTCGACTCCCAGGAAAAGATGGGAAGAAATGGGAAGTGGGGGGGGGAAGACAAAAACCCAGAAAATATGAGGACAGATGGGGAATCCTGTTATTTGTGTGTATGTATTTGTGTGTCCTTGGGTCCCTTACGTCGGTTCCTCCCCCTCCTCGTCCTCCTCCTCGGCGGCGCGCCACAAGAGGGCGGGACGCGAGGGGGGGCGAAGGGCGACCTTGCAAGCGGGCAGAGGGCCCAGGCTATCAGAGAGGATCTCCTTCTCTAGGAAGGTCCCCAGCAGAGCGGGAGAGCCTCTTGGAGGGGGTATGCATTCTTAGAGGCAGAGAGGATCTCCTTATCTGGGAAGGTCCCCAGGACAGCGGGAGAGCCTCTTGGAGGAGGTATGCATTCTTAGAGGCAGAGAGGAGCTCCTTATCTAGGAAGGTTCCCCATGAAAGCGGGAGAGCCTCTCAGAGGAGGTATGCACTCTTAGAGGGCCTCCCCCTTCGCCCTGCCTCCTCGTGGCGTGCCGTGCTAGCGAGTCCTCCCCGGAGGGTCCCGAGCCTTCGGGTTCGAGGCTCGACCGCCCGCTCCTGAAGCTTGCGCCCTCCGCTCCGAACACGAGAACTTGAAATCTGGAAGGTCTGGCCCCACTGGGTGTCCCCATCCCACCCTCGCCCCCCCCCCCCCCCCTTCTTCCCCTCCCCCTCCTCTCTGGGCGACGCTCTCCGAACGACGCCCCCTCCCCGACAGGCAGGCGCAGAGTCCAGCTCTGGACCGAGGCCCGAGGCCCGAGATATCCACGGAATGGCACAACAGATCGAAAGTACCGCCGCCGTCATCGACGCCGCCGTCGTCGGCGTAGCCACCGCCGCCAACGGCGACGACGACGACGGTGGCGGCGACGACGGCGGCGACGGCGACTACGCCGACCACGGCGCCGCGGGGGTGCAAACGCCAGCGGTGCTGACGCGGGAGACGCACGGCGACGCCCGCCCTCTCCGCGGGCCGAGGGGCTTTTCTCCTTGAGCCGCAGGTGCCCGCGCTTCCGCTCACGAGTGCAACAGCCGCTCCGTAGCATCACAAGATTCAGTTGCGGACCCAGGGCGCCATGGATCCTATCGAAGTCCAGGAGACTCCCTCCTCAATAGTATATATATAATGTATGCATATACGCACACACACACACACCTATCTCAATCATAGGAGAGAGTCGAACCGGACATTGTCCTTTTCCCAGCGCTTCCTCTCGCCGTTGCCGACGACGAGGGCGACGAGCGGTCCAGATCTGAAGTTGGCCACTTGCCCGCCCGAAGGAAAGACGAGCATTCACGCCGTCGCGGCTTTGGCAGGCCCGAGGCCAGGCAGGCCCAGGATGCGCAGAAATCGTTCCAGACCGCTCTCAGAGCGTTCGGCAACGCTCCGAGACGGCCGCGGCGCCCGATGCGTCTTCTGGACCCGCGGGCTCTCAGAGATTTCCTCCTCCTCCTCCTCCTCCTCCTCCTCCTCCTCCTCCTCCTCCTCCTCCTCCTTCCTGCCTCTGCCCTCCCAGGAGCACTCGGACCGGGCCGTGGCCGCAGCGCAGGCCCTCGGGCCGCACCACCGGGCCGCACCGGCCCTCGAGCGCCACCTGCACTTCCCCAGGCCGGAGGCGGAGTCGCCCCGGAGGCCCGCTGCCCCATGGCCGACGCCCCGGCTCGACCCGCCCAAGGCACGGGGCGCGAAAAGCTACACCACCACCACCACCACCTCCCGCACCCCCTCCTCCTCCTCCTCCTCCCTCCTCCTCCCTCCTCCTCCCTCCTCCTCCTCCTCCTCCTCCTCCTCCTCCCTCCTCCATCCTCCTCCTCCTCCTCCCCCCTCCCCCTCCCCCCCTCCTCCCCCCCTCCCCTCCCCCTCCCCCTCCCCCTCCCCCTCCCCTCCCCTCCCCCTCCCCCTCCTCCTCCTCCTCCTCCTCCTCCTCCTCCTCGATGAGAGGAAGATGAGGGTAGAGGAGGTAGGATGAACGGAGGTGGTGGTGGTGTGCATTCCTGGGGCCCGCCCCAGGACAGCGCCCCCCACGGCGCGCTCGGCGCCCCGGAGCAGGACGAGGAGGACGACGAGGAGCGGCGGCGCCAGGGTCGATGATCCTCAGGACGTGTGCTAGCCCAGTGTGTCTTTCCTCCGTCCAGATCCGCCGATGGCGCGCAGCCTGTGTCGGCCCTCATTGCTCGGGGACCGAAAAAAGACATTAACACGATCTGTTCGAGACACCCGCGCAGACCTCGGAAAGTCTGTGTTTGTGCCACGGCCTGTGCTCCAGTCATCACACCGCCTGCGTCGTACTGAAGAGCTCCGGTGGACAAGCCCACAGTTGGCGCGGACACGCGCCCCGAGGACGAACCAACAGAGGGGGGGGGCAGGGCGACGGGGGCGGCCTCCTTCAACGTCCGCCAGCATCAGGGTGCAAGACAAACCGAACCGCATCAGCCGCCCCCCCCCCTCCCCACCACACCGTGGTGGACGCACAGGTCCGCCCGCGACCATACTCATGCTCATCGTCATTGTATTCGCACTGATCCCCCGGATCGCGCCCATCGTTCCCTCCGTTCACTCGTGTCTTCGACGACCCTGCCGTTTCATCAGTGCTGATGAGCGAGCGGGCGGCGCAATACCGGATCGCTGCATCACAGCATTGCGGGATGGCGGACTAGCTGAGGCTTGGGGTTTGGATGAAGCATCGGTTGTACTTGCATTGTGCGGTTGAACTCCGGACCGGGGGGTCAGCATTTCGCCCACTAGCGGGGCTCGGCGGGCTCGGCATTGGATGGCTCCGTGTTGAAGCCTTGCAGGGCTTAGCGTTGGAGGCCCCCTGTTACAGGGTACCCTTGCATCCGTGCTTCGGGCTTACGTCTGAGCAAGGCTACTGTTGCATCAATGTCTGAACTCTCCACTTCCAGGGCTCCAGCATGCTGGCTGTGCACAGTGCGGGCGCCAGCCTTGTGGCCATTTTTGGCAGTGATGGTAAGAGGGCCAGGGTCCAGGGGGGGCTTCTTAGAGGTGATCGGAGGCTTCTTAGAAGGCGGGAGGGCTTTCAAGAAGGCCCCTGCCTTCTCAGAAAGCCGTTGCGCTCGCCCAGCCCCCCTTCGCGCGCCGCCGTGAGGAGGAAGCAGGGCAGCAACGGCCTGGAGCCGCGTGCCCAAGTAACAGCAGAACACTCATCTCGTTGTGAGCGGCGAGACCGCGCTCGGATGGACGCCACTCGCTCCCGCACAGGCCCGTGTCTGATCGCACCGTGCGGACGAAGACTCGGCATCGCTCGGACGTGTGCATTCTCCTCTCGGCGCGGACCATCGAAGAGCAGCTTGGATCATCTTGCGAAGAAGAGCACGCACGGAGCAAAACCAAAAAATATAATAATAATAAAAAAAAAAATAAAAAAAAACGCACGGGGAACGGACGCCCGAGCGATGGAGAGAGAAGCGAGGCTCGAAGCCCACTTCCCGAGCGGTGCACCTCTCTTGGCGCTCACGGCAAGTTCGCGCCGCGCCGACTCGGCGGCTGCCCCGGCGCGGGCGTTCCAGGTCGAAGGCCACAGGTGGCCCACGATCCGCCGATGTCGAGCGACCTGCGCCATCGAAAAGCCGCGGTCGTTCTGTGGAGCGATCCGCGCGGTCTCACGCACCGACGCACAGGTCGTCACGAGGCGAACTTGCCGCACTTGCCGATCAACTCTTGATGCGGCGTGGTCGCAGCACTCGTTTTATGACGTTTCTGACGGTGTGCTCTGCCTTTCAGTCCGCACTTCCTGCGCGTCCATGAACTGTTTGAAGTCAGGTTGTCCCGCTACCGAGCTTGAGTATACAGCAGGGCTGGACCTAAACGGTGTTTTTGTCGATCTCGTGGGCCGTTTTCGTTTCGATTTCGTTTTGCGGTAAAGGCGGATTCGAAACAAAAGAAAGGGGAAACGAAAACAAAACGAAAACGAAAAACACCGTGTAGGTTCAGCCCTGGTATACAGTATAGGTCTCCCTCCCCCAACAGATGGATCTCTCCTGCTCGCCCACTGGCACAAATATAAGCAATCGTAGCACTAGTATTCTTCAATCGGGTCCAGATGGTCCCGCTTTCTGGCACGCTCAGGCTCGCATCCTATGGTCCAACAGCTGGGCATCTTTACTTGTTATGTTTCGCTTAGTCCTTTGGCAAGCTTGGAAGAGCGTTGTCCTGGAACCCATTGTGGGCAGACGCGCCTCAGCGAGTTTGCATTCCAATGATGTTTTTTGTTTATTGCATCATGGCTGCCCGTTTTAGGATTCTTAGCGACGTAGCACACGTGTTCCTACGGTGTGGGATGATTGTAATTTATGCGTTCGTTCGCATATCTCTGGAGATTGGTGAAGCAGATGAAGATGTTGTCGCGGTTGTACAGACGAATGTCAAAGTTGTAACCAATTGTGCATGCGGACCCTGTACGAGAAGGAGCCTGTCCTGGTCCGGCATGAGCGGGCCAGTGCCGACGGATGCTGCAGAAAGAAACGGGCGCGGGCACACCTATGATCTCTCGGGGTCCCCCTCGCTGTTGTTCGCATCCCAGCCCTATCCGTGCAGCCGTCGCCGACCTTGCACTCTTGGGACCCTCGCCGTGGGGTCTGGCACGGCTTCGCGCGGCAAGCGCACATCATTGGCACAAGCGAGCATGACCGCGAGCACAGGCGAGGGCACAGGCGCAGTGCGAGCAAGAGCGTGAGCGTAAGAGTTAGCGTGAGCGAGCGCACGGGCGTGAGTGCGAGTGTGAGCCGTCGCGGGAGTATGCGCATGGTCATACACAGGAGAGAGAGAAAGAGAGAGAGACCACAGCGCGTGTGCCTAAGCGTAGGCACAGGCATGAGCGAATGCGTGTGATAGCCAGCGGCAGTATGCAGCCCTGTGCGGCCATGAATATAATCAGGTTGTTCGGGCGAGGGGCCGTGCCCTGGCGAGATCGAAGTGGGCCGCTGCTGTGGGCCAGGGCATGGACCCACGGCCACCCCCATGCGAACGTCACATGCTTGGAGCTCCATTCCGCACTGGACAATGTCAGGAACTGAAGCACCTTGTCCCGTACGTACGGTACGTCGACAAAATGTTGCACCACCTGGTGCCGAAGACAGCGACCATCCTTTTCAGATCGACGTTTGCGTCTCATCCCCCCCCAACCCCCCATCTAGCATCGGGTGCGGTCTGGGGGATCGCCGAGACAGCTGTGCAACATTCTGTCGATCGCCTGAGGAATTCCGAGCAGCTCCTCCTCGCATGTCCGCAAGATAAGATGGGGGAGGGGGGGGCCGGAGTGTTGCAGTACGCATTCTAGGGCTTACCTAAAGTAATGCAACATGTTGTCGATGTACGGTACGCCCTGGCCAGGGCCATAGTCTGGCCCATCACGGGAGCAGAACGACGATGAGGATGAGGACGCAGAGGACGAAGATGATGAGGAGGAGGACGAGGAGGAGGATAAGGAGGGTAGGGAGGGACAGGAAGCGGAGGAGGCTGAGGATGACGAGGGCGACGAGGAGGAGGAGGATGACGAGGAGCACGAAGATGAGGCAGAGAGGAGGAGCACGAGGATAAGCAGGAGGAGGAGGAGGATTAAGACGACGCTCAAGATAAGGAGGAAGAGTACGAGGGCTTCAGGCGCAAAGGGGGCCTGGTGGTTTTTAAGCGTGATCTTTTTCAGCTCCAGACTGGATGATTCGGCGGGCTTTCGGCCCTCCGAGGGTTTCATGCGTCTCTCTCTCTCTCTCTCTCGCTCTCTCTTCTGTGTGTTTTCGTTCGTAGCGCATTCCTCTTCCTCCTCATCCTTCTCCGTCTTCCTCCTCATCCTGTTCCCGATCATCCTCCTCTTCCTCCTCCTCCTCCTCCTCCTCGTCCTCCTCCGCCTCCTCCCCCTCTCCCCCTTTTCTGAAGGAATGCCAGAACTTTGGGAAAACCATTGGAAAAACCAAAAAAAACAAAGAAACCTAAGTGGTGGAGACGGAAAGTTTAGGACACCCATTGGAAAAACCAAAAAAAACAAAAAAAACAAAGATTCCACAGAGAGTGCGGGGAACACCCGTCCGAAGGGACACGTCCAAAGGGAATCCCCGCACTCTCTGTGGAATATTTGTTTTTTTTGTTTTTTTTTGGTTTTTCCAATGGGTTTCCTAAAGTTTTCGTTTCCAGCACTTAGGTTTCTTTGTTTTTTTTTTTTTGGTTTTTCCAATGGTTTTCCCAAAGTTGTTGCATTCCTTCAGAAGGGGGGGATGGGGGAGGAGGGGGAGGAGGAAGAGGATGGAGAGGAGTCGCAGGGAGGAGGTCGCGGGAGGGGTTCGTACCTGCGGCGCTGAACCCTCCCTCTGTGATGCATTCCCACGGAATCCTGTTGAGAGGCCTTCCATGAGAATCCCTTTGGGGTGCTTTCCAAAGGAATCCTGTTGTGAGGCTTTCCAATTGGATCCCTCTGTTGTGCTTTCCAATGGAATCCTGTTGGGAGGCTTTCCAATGGAATCCCTTTGTGATGATTTCCAAAGGGTTCCTGTTGTGAGGATTTCCAAAGGGTTCCTGTTGTGATGGTTTCCAAAGGGTTCCTGTTGTGAGGATTTGTGTTCCAGCGCCATCCTCCCAACGGTAGCAGTTTGGATTGCGGCTTTCCAATAGAATCCCTCTGTTGCGCTTTCCAAAGAAACCATGTTGGGAGGCTTTCCAATGGAACTCCTTTGTTGTGCTTTCCAAAGGATTCCGATTGTGAGGCGTTCCAGTAGAATCGCTGTGTTGCGATTTCTGTAGGATTCCGAATGTGAGGCTTTCCCATATAATCCCTCTGTTGTGCTTTCCAAAGGAATCCTGTTGAGAGGCTGTCCAATGGAACTCCTCTGTGGTGCTTTTCAAAGGGTTCCTGATGTGAGGCTTTCAAATGGAATCCCTTTGTTGCGCTTTTCAAAAGATTCCAATTGTGAGGCTTTCCCATGGAATCCCTTTTGTGTAGTTTTCCAAAGGATTTCCTTTGTGACGCTTTCCAATTGAAACCCTTTGTAGCATTTTCCGAAGGGTTCTTGCTGTCAGGCTTTCCACTAGAATCCCTTTGGGGTGCTTTCCAAAGGGTTCCTGTTGTGAGGCCTTCCAACAGACTCCCTTCGGGGTGCTTCCCAAAGGAATCAGATTGTGAAGCTTTCCAATGTAATCCGATTGTGAGGCTTTCCCATAGAGTACCTCTGTGGGGCTTGCCAAAGGAATCCTGTTGAGAGGCTTTCCAATGGTACCATTGTGGGGCTTTCCAAACGAATCCTGCTGAGAGGCTTTCCAATAGAATCCTTATGTGGCGCTTTCCAACAGATTCCGATTGTGAGGCGTTCCAATAGAATCCCTCTGTGGTGCTTTCCAAAGGAATCCTGTTGAGATGCTTTCAAATGGAATCCTTTTGTAGCGCTTCCCAAATGAAGACCTGTTGAGAGGCTTTCCAATGGAACTCCTTTGTGGTGCCTTTCAAAGGGTTCCTGTTGAGAGGCTTTCACATGGAATCCCTTTGTGGTGCTTTCCAAAGGGTTCCTGTTGTGAAGGTTTCAAATGCTCTCGGCTAGGTGGGAGAAGGATCGGCGCAGGTTTGACGCAGGACAATGGAAACATGTAGAGAGACAGGGAGAGAGAGAGAGAGAGAGAAACGGAAACACATCGAGAAAAATAATGAGAGAGAGAGAGAGAGAGTCGTAGAGAGAGACTCGCATAGGTTTTCTTATTAAAAACAACACGCACAAAAACCACCAGGCCCCCTTTGCGCCTGGAGCCACGAACGAGCAGGAGCAGGAAGAGGAGAGCGCGAGGACGATCGGGACGACGATGACGATGGTGGCGAGGATAAGGAGGAGCAGGAGGAGGAGCGGCAGCAGCACCGGGAGGGTGCGTGCGAGGACGGGGGTGAGGAAGACAAGACAGAGAGAATGAGGACGAGGATGAGGACGTAGACGAGGAGGAGGAGGAGGAGGACGATGAGGAGGAGGAGGAGGAGGAGGAGGAGGAGGAGGAGCAGGATGACGCTGCTGAGGGGGAGCAGGGGGAAGAGGATGAGGAAGAGGATGCGGAGGAGGCAGATGAGGAAGAGGGGGAGGAGAAGAGACGAAGATAAGCTGGAGGGGGGGGAGGAGGATTAGGAGGAAGGGGAATGATAAGGAGGAGGCGGAGGAGGACCGAACATCGAGGTTTCATCGATGATCGAGGATGGAGGAGGATCGAGAATCGAGGGTCGAAGATCGATGGAGGATGGATTTTCGATCGAGGTTCAAGGGTCGATCGACGGTGGAAGTTCGATCGAGGATCCAGGTCTGAAGTTGGATCGTCGATCGAGGATCGAGGTTTCATCGCGGATCGATCGACGATAGAGGATCGAGGGTCGAGGATCCAAGGTCCACAATCGAGGTTCGATCGAGGATCGAGGGACTGCCCATGCCGCGCAGGCCTCGATCATGTCCACAATCGAGGTTCGATCCGCGGCGCCACCGCCGCGCCTCCGCCGCCTGCCGCGCTGAGGCGCGGGGCCGGCGGCGATCGCGCCGCCGCTGGGCGACGAACTGCCCGAGGCAGAGGCGGAGGCCACTGCCCAGATGCCGCCGCCGGTGCCGCCTGCGCAGCTCGTCGCGCCCGCGCCGCCGATGCCGCCCGCCCGCGCCGTCGGCGCCTTCGGCGACCTGGCGCCGTCGCCGCCGCGGCGTCGTCACTGCCTCGGCTTCGTCGTTGTCGCTGCTGGCGTCGTCGCCGCCGTCGTCACGGCCCTGGCGCCGTCGTCCAGCTGAAGGAGGACATTAAGCAACACTCCCCATTCCCCCTCAATTCAAAGTTGGCACGTTTACGCATTACCGCTCGGACACTAGAGCTCGTCAGATCCGAAACCAACGTTGGATTCGGGGGAGGGGGAGAGTGCAAGCCACATGTTCTGCGTACGTGCTGGTGATCAATTGTTGCCGACGCCTGTCGCATCGGCTTCGTCAATACGTCGACGTAAACATCGCCGTCGCCGCTGGCGCCATCGCCCTCGTCGCATGTTGGGGTCCTCAGCTACGCTTCCATGGTGTCGGGTGCGGTTCTCGTCCTGCTGCCACCGATGGGTTTCATTGCTGCTCTTGCGGTCCTCGTCCTCATCGCCTCCCTATCATGTGCACCACCCCGTCTTTTCATAAAGTTGTTCGCAGCATCTAGGGCCGCTTTCCGCCAGCCGAGCGCCTGTGGATCAAGTACTGCGTTGTTGCACTCGCCATTCCCAGGCCCACGGGCAAGCAGATTCGCTGAAAGTCCACTTCCTACAACCCTCGTCAAAATTAACCTCAAAATGGCGGGCACGCCCCTTCGATGTCGGCGCGCCCCTTCAATGTCGATACGACGCCCCTTCAATGTCGGGGCCAGGGCAGATGTGGTGTGACTGGGAGCGACTCGAAAATTCAAAGATGACCGACATTGGAGGGGCGGCGCATACAAGTACATCGCACTCATCGGCACTCGGTCCGATATCTCCCACAATCAGTTCAGCTACATGAAGCATTTTTGAGGTTATTTTTGACGAGGGTTGTAGGCCCATGAGCAGGCAAGGTCGCCGAAAGTCCACTTCCTCCCACTCGCTCTCCTGCTCCTCCTCGTCGTCGCCTGGTCTGAGCGCCCGTCGCCCGCCTGACCACCAGGGCCAAACGTTGAAGCTCTCTCCAACACCAAGAGCTTTGAGGTCCAACGTCCAACAGCTGCAAACCTCGAGCTTGGCATTCCGACCCTCGACTCCTCAGCATCGTGCCCTTCCCATCTCCCCAGCACACGTTCTGCGCTGGGGCCTCCGAGGCAAACCCCCTCCCCTGGCCCTCCTCTGGCCCCCCCTTCGACCCCTCCACCCCAGAACACGGTGGGGACGAGGGGGGGGGCGACGGGAACGACGGTGGGGACTTGGAACCCCGCGGGGACGAGTGGGGGGCGACGGGAACGACGGTGGGGACTCGGAGCCCCGAATCATCAGGGCTGGGGATGGTCAGGGGTAGCTATTGGTTCGTGCCTCGGGGGCCTGAGCAGGAGTTACCCCAGACTAGAGCTGTCCAGAATAACCCGGGCGTCAAACCACTCCCGAATCATCGGGGCTGGGGGCGGTCAAGGATGACTCCTGGCTCGTGCGTCGGGTGCCCCAACTGGAGTTAGATGGAGTTACCCCAGACCGCAGTTATCTCGGATGACTCGTGCGTCCAGGGGACGAGGGGAAACGACGGTGGCCCCCAGCTCTTCCCCGAGGGCTTTGGCCAGCCCCCCCCCCCCCCCTCCCGCGGGTGTAGGGGCCAGACAGTCGGCGCGCACCCCCTCCCAGAGTCTGGGCAGATGCCCGCCCCCCCCCAATGCGGAATGATCAGACTTGGGCATACATCTAATCATCTACGGGAGGTCCGCCCTGCCTCTCTGCCTGCCTTCCAGGAGCCGCCGGTGCGGACCGCCTTCAGATGGCCGATTTGCAGGCGGTCCCGCTCGTGTTCGGTTCCCCCCCCCCTCCCCCTTCTTCCGGGCCGCGGCCTCGCTCGGCCTTCAGGCAGGCCCGGCGCTCAGCGGCGCTCCACCTCCCCGCCGCCCCTCTGGACAGAAGCGCCCGTCGTGTTTTGCTCGTTTCGCCGTGGGGTCTGTACACCGGGAGCTTCGTTCGCGGTCGGCCAACCAGCTCTGCCCTGCACCCGACTTCCTCTGTCGATCAGGTTCTCTCTAGAGCTCTTCGTAGGAAGAGCTCCGAAGACATGGCTGGCAGGCTTTGGCTATAGGCCAGCTTCCGCTCAACCTCTGTCAAGTTTCTGAAAGTCGCAGCTCGAGACTTCTGGTGGTACGTCCCTGGAGATCTCTGGATGTCTCCGGAGGGAAGAATGTCCAGAGACGAAGGTCTCCGCCCTCTATCCTCGATTCTCGAGCCTCCTCTCAGCGGCCGTACTGGATCAGCCGGGCCGCGCTGATCCCTCGGCCGCGGGGCCCATCCGGCAGCCATGGGCGCCTCGGCGGCCGCTGCCGGCGCTGTCGGCGCGGCGGCCGCGTGCATCTGCGCCCGCTCGGCAAATGGCTTAGAATACCTTAAGAGGGGCAGGCAGGCAGATGGATCCGAAAGGGGCTTTTGTTGGTGGGGGCAATTGGGTGGGGAGGAGGAGGAGGAGGAGGAGGAGGAGGAGGAGGAGGAGGAGGAGGAGGAGGAGCCCCACGCGGGCCCCAACTCCGACGCCTGCCAGGAGCCAGGCCGAGGGACGTTCATTCCGCCCGACGGCGAACACTGGAGATGCGCGAGTGGTGGAGCCCTACCGCAGCGACCCACTCACGCCGCGGCGGCCGCGGGGGGAGCAAGAAGGAGACCCGGAGCGGAACCGAGTGATGGAGGGGCCAGGCATCCTTGACGACCCGACGGAGGTTGAGACCATTGCCGGGGGCCTGCCCAGAGCAGGAGGAGCGGCAAGGCGACGAGCAGGCTGCCGGAGACGGGCGAGGAGAGGAGGAAGACAGGAGGTGGCCAGCTTCTGACTCATGGGAAGGTACAGCTCCAACTTTAGTCGCGCAGTGAGTTGCTTGACGCCTTTCTATCTGCAGTGCAAAACGAGGAGACCAAGGCGAACGAGGTGAGAGAAACAGCGAACAGGACGATTTGAAAGCAGAGGATGCTACGGAACAAAAACAGCTCCAACGCAGGAGGAGGAGGAAGTGGCACGCAGCCCCAGAGGATGATCAACGGCATGCTGAGGAAGACGAGCGAGGAGCTGCAGGAGGTGGCGGACCCGCTCGAGCATACGCCGACCTCCCTCCCCAAGCCGAGAGGAGGCAGGACGCGAGACGGAGCAAGGCTGAGGAGCCGACGCAGGGCGCACGGAGGCGCAGCGGAGCGCGGGGCTCAGACAGAGGACGTGCCCACGTTCCCTCCTCCTCCCCTCCTCCTCCTCCTCCTCCTCCTCCTCCCCTCCCCTCCTCCTCCTCCTCCCCAGAGCAGCCCCTCCTCCTCCTCCTCAACTCCCCAGAGCAGCCCCTCCTCCGCCTCCTCCTCCTCCTCCTCCTCCTCCTCCTCCTCCTCCTCCTCCCCTCCTCCTTCTCCCCAGAGCAGCCACCCAGCCCGCCGCCGCCAGAGGTCATAGCGCCCTTTGGCATGGGACCGCCGACGGCACCGCCATCAGAGGAGGAGCGCAAAGCATGGCGCTGCGGGCAGTGCTAGCGCGTGCTGCTTCCCACCAGGAGGGTGTGCTGGTGCCGCGCGACGCGGGGCACCCGCAGACAGGCACCAACCTCGCCAGAGCGGGACCTGATGGAGGAGGAGAGGCGGATCCAGGACCGCGAGCTGCAGGAGATCAGGGAGTTCGAAGGCCGGGCCGGCGAGTGGTTCAGAAGGCGCATGGCGCTGCTCGAGCAAAGGTCGAACGTGGGCATCGCGCCGCCTTAGACCAGAGGAGCACGGACTGTTATGGCGGAGGGCGCAGCAGCTCAGCAGGCAGCACGGACTGTTATGTCGTCGTTGCTGGTGTTGGTGGGGGGTGTCTCTGGCTCCTCGGATCATTTTCCTGGGAGGGGGGAGCGTGGGCGCGAATCATTTTCTTTGTCACCCGGGGAGCGGGGGGGGGAGCGCGAATAATTATCCCGGAGATCAGGGGTGGGGGGTCCTGGTTTTTTGCCCCCCCCCCCCCCCCCCCCCCCCCCGGGCCCCCCACACCACACACACCCAATGTGTGTGTGTGTGTGTTTTCTTAAGACGGGGTGCGGGGGGGGGGGGCGGGCTGGTTTCTGACCCTCCCTGGACAATTTTTTCAGGCCCGCGACGGTGGATCGCGCTCCCTCCTGCATGGCCAGGCCAGGCGTGTGAAAGTTCTGCACACGAGCCACCGGGTCATGAGAGCGCGGGTCACCGCACAACTGTCGGAGGCCTAGAGATTGACACCCAACACCAAGATCGGCGGTGCGTCTCCACCGAGGGAAGACGATCCCGATCTCGGTGATGGTGGTAATCTGCTGGCTTCCAGGGTGGCCGATCTGTTGCCACCAGCACCGAAATCGAGGATCATCTTCCCCCTTGTGGAGGCCACCCCCTGTGTTGGTGTTGGTGCCAATGTCCAGGCCTCCAAAACTGTTCGACGAAATCGCGCAGGTGCTCCACGCCCCGCACGACGGCGCGCCGTGTCGGAGCGCGCGACGCCACCCGCTGCATGGCGGCAGGAAATGCAGCACTTTACGGAGCGTTGGCTCCCCGGTATGGTGCTCCTCCCCCTCCTCCTCGCCCTCCTCCTCCTCGCCCTCCTCCTCCTCCTCCTCCTCCTCTTCCTCCTCCTCCTCCCTCCTCCTCCTCCTCCTCCTCCTCCTCCTCCTCCGTCCTCCTCCTCCTCCTCCTCCTCCTCCTCCTCCCTCCTCCTCCTCCTCCTGGCGGATGCTGACGCGCGCCTCGGGCACAAACCATCCGCAGGGGTGGGCACCACGGCGGGACCTAACGGCCCCGACGACGACACAAACGGCGGCCGCCTGCGCAATTTGCTCGCGACGACAGGCATCACGGCACTCAGCACTCGGCACACCACCGAGGGAGACGGCACCAACTTCGGCGACAATTCCGCAGTGCATCACCGCATCGACTACGCTCTGAGCGGCCCTTACTGGACGGAACGATCCAAGGAAGCGGGCCGCTCCACGACTGGGACAACGGAATGCGAAGCCCTGCTCACTTTCCAGTGGTCGCGGTGCCGTCCGCGTGCCGCCTGCCACGTAGAGCCACCCGCCCCGCGCCCGCATACGACGGGCAAAAACTACAACCGGGAGCTTCAGCAGCACCCATGCCACGTGCTGGCGCGGGTGCGTCTGGCACCGTGGGAGCTCAACCTGAACCCCCGCGCTGATCAATCGGGACAGATAAAACGACTGGCGCTCCAGCCACTCGAGCGGACGGCACGGACCTCCGGCAGCCTCACGTAGGGGGGCCCACGATGGGCTTCATGCGACTCGGCGACGTGTCCAGCGCATCATTCGACACACGCACTACAGTCGGGGCCCTGAATAAGGAACCCTTCTCATTGGGGAAGGGCTCCGTGTTCCTTCATTGTTTTTCATTGTGCCCAAGGTCATCCTTGGATCCTCGATGGGAAGTCGAAGTTGAGCTCCTGGAGAAAAGGGGCCTCGCTCCTCATTGTGGGTTCCTTAGGTCAACGCCCCGACGGTATAGCAGCCCGATCGCAGGCTGCTCCAGCACGGCCGGCGACTGCCGCGGAGAGCAGGCGCGGGGGGCACCACGCCCACGCGTCGGAGGGCGCCGACGGTCGCCCCGTCGAGCACGAGGGGGTACAGCCGGGGCCCTGAAGAAGGAACCCTTTTCGTTGGGGAGGGGCTCCGCGCTCCTTAGGTTTTTCGCAGCCTGCCTCAGGTTTTTCCTTATGTCTTCGATGGGAAATCGAAGTTTAACTCATGGGAAAAAGGGGCCTCGTTCCTTGTGTAGGGTTCCTTGGGTCAACGCCCCGACTGTACTGGCCGAGGCGCGGCGCTCACCAGCTTCGCCCAGGAGGGGCGCGCCGACCTCCGGCGACCCGACCAGGCTGTGGAGCAGTGCGAGGACGTGGCCCCGAGGAGCGTCACTGCGCCCGCGCCCAGGGCTCGGGCCGGACGAAAGGGGGGGATGGGGAAAGGGGGGGTTACGAAATTTGTTTCGTGCAGCTGGTTTCGGCCTCACCGAGGGGCCCATTCCTCGATGCATAGTCGCCTCCGGCGCCGGGAGGCGCCGGGAAAATCAGCCACGTGAGCTGATGCTCGAACCCCCCTTTTGCTATCCCCCCGTTCGCCCGACCCGAAAGGCGCAAAGCAGCATCCCCAAGCCCGAGAGTGCACGGCGCTTCCGCCGCGGAGCCTCCAACAGTTGAAGCCAGTGGCGGCGACGCCTCTGGGTCTTCAGCGTTCCAGGCGACCGCAGAGCCTTTGGCCCGGCTGTGCCACCCGCTCTTCGCCACGGTCGCTCTGCACCGCCAGGAGCCCATGCTGTGGAAGCATGGCGTCGCAGTTGGCATCCCAAAGCCGGGGGGCGCGGCCCGCGACCTTGGCGCTGCTCGAAAAAATCGAGCTCAGCACGACGGTCTCCAAGCACCAATGCCTTCATCCGAGGGCGACTGAGCCATGTCACGTACCACATGTACCACGACGCGCAGATTGGGCGCCGAAAACGCGGATCCTGCGTGATGACCAATCAAATTGTCAGCACTTTCTTCCGCCTCCGCAAGCAAGAAGGCACGGCGGGCCTGGCTCTCTTCATCGAACTCGTAGACGCCTTCCACGCAGTGCTGCGGCACCGTGCGGTTACGGATCGAGCGCATGGCCGAGCAGACATCGCAGCTCTGGTAACAACCCGCAGCACCCCCGAGGCGCTGCGGGGCGGCACCGCTCAGATCTCACGGCAACCCCGAAGCCCTGAACATCCTTGGTGTCCGCAGCTGTGGGCCATCGCTACTGAGGCCCGCAGGGCCACGTCACCGTGTAGGGCAGTGCCCGCGTGGCGGCACCCAAAGGTTGAACGCACCCAGGCGTCGGCCTGGCCGACTTTGTCAACTGCGCGGCGATCAAGCGCCCCCTGACCAAGATACGCGAGGAGCTCGCGGCACTCGACATCACATACTACCCACCACAGACAGCCGCCAAGGTGCTGGCACCCACTGCGGAGCCCGCAGCAGCGGGGGATGTGTCCTTCGCCGGCGACGACGCCGCGATCCTGGTCTCTGTGACAAGGGGAGCAGACCACCCAAAGCATGTACTGAAACACTGCATGTGTTGCTCTCTGTCCTGCACCATCGCCTGAAGCCATTTCAGATGTCTGATTCTCAACTCAACGAACAAAGGAGCACGTCGTAATTTCTAGAGCACATCATCCCTAGTAATGGTACTGACATGCTGGTTGTCCTCGTTCCAGGTGGCAGTCCTGCCCAAAATAGCACGGCATTCGCGTACGACGAAGCTTTCGGCAGTTGCGGGATCGTTGTTAGTGAGCGACTCGCCTCCCTTGACACACAATTTTAAAACACGTAATGTCGCGTTGACAAGTATACCTTTCACCATGGAGCGC